TGGTGTTTTGGCATTCCTCGGGGCTGTAGAATGTTCGACCTCCACAGCAGGACTCGGGTTTAGATGCTGAGTCAGAATTGCATCTGGACTCGTTCCTGTAGGTTCTTTCAGGGCGGTTGCATGCTCAGCCTCTGCAGTGGGTTCTGGACCATTGGTAGGTGTAGGTGGTAGGTTCAAGGTCTGATCTGTGACACTGGGTGTCACTGGAGGTTGAGGTGGAGCTGGCGTTGGAACGGCCACCTCTTGCAACACTGGAGGTTGAGCTCCCACCTCTGTAGATGGCTCTGTAAGCTGCACAGGGGTCTCCTGAGTGGTTGGAGCCTGGTCAACCTCTATATTGAGTTCTGGAGTTGGGGTATTTCCCAGGTCCCAATGTGCAACTGTGACCTTGGGCAGGGCTGCATGGTGAGTCTGGACCTGGTCTGGATGTGAAATCTCAGAGTCCAGAGTTGTTGTGGTCTTCAGGGCTGTAGAATGTTCAGCCTCCACACTGGGTCCTGGAGTTATAGTCAGCTGCAGCTTCAAAGGCTGAAAGGTGACCCTGGGTAATATTAGATACGGAGCCTGTTCCTGAGCTGGTTTGGGGACCGTTGCCTCCTCATCTACAGATTCTTGAAGTGGCTCTCGAGGTTGGGTTAGGGGCTCCGAAGAAATGACACCCTCTGTAGTAGGAGATGGAGTCAGGTAATATACTTGGGGTTGGCTTTTGGAACCCACAGTCATTTCCGGATGTTGAGCGGACACTTTCAGCCGTGGTGGAGACGGAAGGGTGATCGGAAGGGCCTCCAGGGGTTCAGCTGGAGATTCCCATTCTGTAGGGATAGGCTCTATCTCCTTAGGGGAAGCTGCAGTCTCATCCATGGCCTCTGGCTCAGCTGCAGAAGGTAAGGCTGGGTAAGGCTCAACCTCTGAAGGTGAAGTGAAGGTGACCTCAGGATCTACTGACTTATCCATACTTGTGGAAACTGTTGAGTGGTCACCTCCTTTCAGGAGTGTCAGGTCCAGCTCATTGTTCCCCGAGGCCTGAGCTGCAACTTCCTGTTGGCTTGAAAGTTATAGCCTCGGTCATGGTCTCTACAGGGTTAACCGACACACTCAGCAATGTTGGAGACTGACCTTCAGGAGGAACTGTTGCCTCATGAGACTCTGCAGGTGGAGATTTCACTTCTTCGGTCTCTGACACCGGAGCTGGAGCTTCCTGCTGGGCTGGAGACAGTCTGATTTCCTCAGATGAGGGTTCCTCTTCCTGAGGTATTTCTGGCGAAGAAATAGACTCAACCTCTTCAAAAGCTTCTGGAGGCGCAGCTGGGGCCTCAGGCTGAGCTTCAGCATTGTGCTTTATTGGCAAGCCATCTTCTGTATCTGCTTGCATTGTACTCTGCAAACATGCAGGTTTAGCAGGCATACTGGGTAAGTCCATGTGTTGTTGCCAGTGGTGGTGAGCTGAAGCTACGAATATTTCCTCCTGGTGCTCTGGAGGCTGAACTGTGTCCTCCTCAGGATGGCCTTTAGGAGATTCAGCAGGTCCAATGGACTCGGATGGCTGAGCAAACTGTTCCTGCTGGCCTGGAGAAGGTTCTGCCTCCAACGAAGGCTCAGCATCCTGAGTTGGCTGTTCCAGCTGGGTGGGAGGAGATGTGACCTCCACAGAAGGACGTGCACTCTGAACTGGGGTCACCTGGTGGCCTGGAAGAGATTCTGTTCCCACAGATGGGCCTGGAGCGGGAGGAATTGGGGCCACCTGCTGGCCTAGAGGTTCCACCTCCACTGAAGGCTCAGCATACTGAGCAGACTCCTCTTGATTACTCGGGAAAGGCTCTAGGTCTACAGAAGGGCCTGGAGTCTGAGCTGGAGCCTCTTGTGGGATTGAGGGAGGGGATTCCCCTTGCGAGATCCCTGCAGGCTGAACTGGGGCCTGCAGCTGGCCCAGAGTACTTTGAACTTCACCACCTGGCTGTAGCGTAATTGTGAGCATCACATCCGCTGGCCTCCCTGTGATGCTTGGCAAAGTAGATTGCAGCGGTGGACGTGGAACACTGATCTCGTTTTGAACAAGCTGCCGGACAGCTTCTTCAGCAGCAGAGATCTGAATTGGAGACCCCTGCAGCATTGGAGAAGGTGTAGTCTCCTTGAGAGGCTGTGGAACCTGGGCTAGGCCTTCTTTTTGGAGCAACGAAGGCTGGCCCTCCTCAAGAGTCTCGGGGCTTTGAGGTATGTCCTCTGGCTGAAGTTCAGATGGTTCTGCCCCATCAAAGGGCTCCAGGAGCTCACCTGGGTGTTCCTCTAATTCCATCGGGAAGCCACCAGGATAGACGACATTGTCATCTAGAACATTTGTAGACCCCAGGTCATCAAAGCCACTGGGGTCTGTTTCAGTTGTCAGCGCACTGAGCAACTCATCTAGTCTACCCATAGATTGGGTAGACCAGGCCTCAGGAGTCAGCTGGACCAAGTTCTGGTCCCACTCCTGAGGAGGTGTTGCCTGTACTAACTGCAACAGCAGTATAAGCCAAAGGCTCATTTTGGTAGCGGGCGGGGAGGGGTCAGGGTTTTTTGTAAGCAGTAGATCAAACTACCAAGGGAAAAGCAATCCACCTTATTCAAAGGTGTGAAGCATATGAGAGTCCCTTGGCACCTGTTCCTTAGTAACCTTGCCTTCTGCCCCGCCCTTTACTGATGACATCTTCATTACACAGCCTTTGTTGGTCTCTGCTGCTCTGAACTTGGGCACCTTTTTCTCACAGTCACTGCTGCCCTTCTCCTGCAGGAAAGACAGCTGTTCTCACCAGATCCCCTCTATCCGCAAGGCAGGCTGAGGATCACAAGCCCAGGTGGCCCCAGGACACTAGCAGACCATTGTAGTTGGGGGAAGGAGGCAGAGCTTCCCAAGGAAGTCACAAGGCCTGGCTTCTTGGAGTATTCAGAATGGCTAGTCGGAATCTGGTAGCCAGAACTCTGCCTCCTCTTGAGTTGAAATCCAAGAGATGCTCTTCCTCTCACCAGAGCCAGCTAGGAAAGGGGCAGAATGCTTCTTATGGCTACTTACTTAAGTGTGTCCACTTCCTCTAGAGCCTCAGTATCCTTTCTGTCCACGTTTGATCATTCACTCACTCTATTTGGTAGGAATTACCATGAAATCAGGGACGACTCCAAGATTTTTGTAGGAGGGATTTGGGATGAATAGGCAATGTAGAGGAGAGAGTTTAAATGATTCACCCTTTAAATTGACTTAGGAGCACTTGCCCCATCCCACCCTGAAAAAGTACCGCTTTTCAGAGAAGACACCTGCGGTGTTAAATCAGCAAGTTTAAGAAGTTTCTTAAAATTCTGGTGGATGAGGACCCACTGACTTTTTCCAGACCCTTCCTATATGGCATACACTGTTTATTGTCTGGCACAGCCCCTAGCACAGAACCTCCAGGGTGAGGGCTTCATCTTCCTCCCAATGCCAAGCATGTGGTTTGGCACATGCTGATTTCTAAATTGGTTTCATTTTGAAACTTAAAATACTACTTATTTGGGAGGAAGAGAGAGCTCCCACTCATTGGCTCAGTTTCCACACACCCACTGTGGCTGACACAAGGCCCCGCTAAGCCGGGAGCCACAAACTCAACCCAGGTCTTCTGTGTAGGTGGTAGAAACCCAACTACCCGAGTTCTCACTTCCACCTCCAAGGGTCTACATTAGCAAGCAGCTAGATTCAGGAGCAGAGCTGGGCATTGAAACCAGGCACTTGAACATGGGAAGTGGGCATCTCAGCCAGCATTTTAACTGCTGGGGTAAATGAATCACCCCCATAGTTTTATTTGCTTCAATTTGATTTTTGAGAGATAGATAAACACAGAGGGAAACAGATCAAGACCTCCATCCAGTCTTCCTGAGTTCTAATTCCACCCCCTCAAAACCTTTTTCAAAATAATAATCTATAGGCCCGGGGCAATTGTCTAGTGGGTAAAGTTCTTGCCTTGCATATAAAAGCATCTCATTTAGGCAATGCTTTGTATCCTGGCTGCTTCACTACCCATCCAGCTCCCTGCTAGTGGCCTGGGAAAGCAGTTGAGGACGGCCCAAAGCCCTGGGACCCTGGAAGAGGCTCATGGCTCCTGGCTTCAGATTGGCTTAGCTCCAGCCATTGAGGCCGCCTGGGGAGTGATCCAGTAGATGGAAGATCATTCTCTGTGTCTCTCCTTCTCTCTGTAGATCTGAATTTCCAATAAAAATCAATAAAATCTTAAAACCAAAATAAATAGCCTATAAGCATAAAAAGTATATATGAAAAAATTTTAATATGATCCATAGAGGCTATGAAATGCTATGTCTTTCTGACTTTGTTTTACATTTTCTCAGTGAGAAATGCCATTTTAATGACATTGAACATCTTCTCATGTGCTTCTTTGGTCCTTTCTGTTCAAATCTTTTGCTCGGTTTTGAGATCATTCTGACCTGTTGAGTGTTGATATGACTAGTTTCAGAAATAAAAATTACTTCCTTGCTTGAAGACAAGGTCCTCCGAGCTTCCTCTCCTGTAACAATCCCAGCTTCCTGTTAATGAACACCCTGGGAGGCCGCAGGTGAGGATCCAGCACTTGGCTTCCTGCCATCCCTGCAGGAAACCTCCACTGAGTTTTGGACCCCTAGTTTGACTTGGCCCAGACCTGGCTGTTGAGGCGTTTGGTGAATGAATGAACCAATGAGTGGAAGGGTGTTTCCCTCTTGCTCTGTGTATGACTATCTTATCTCTCAAACAAAATACAAGTAAATGAAAAATTTTTAATGTAAAATAAATGCTGAAATACTAGTGGGGGCACAAAAGAGTTAAACATGATAAGAAAAATGTATGTCCCTTTCAGTGCCAGTAAATATATATATATATATTTAATATGCAACTAGTTCTTTCAGTTCTTTGTAGCTTTTTTGTGGCCTGCCCCATTGTGAACATGTGTGGGATTGATTACACAGTCTTACCCAGATAGTAAAACCTCAGGTCAAGTCAGAGAGATACTCAAGTACTTGTTTTATGTCTTCTCTAACTTCATCTGAATTTCATCTTTTAAAAGAGGGAATGTTGACCTTCTCCATTTATTAAATGTTTCTACAGGAGCAACAGTGAAAGACATTTTATATATGATTAATTACATTTCACAAATATTGATCCAATTCAGAAGCATGACATACAAACTTACTGTATCACCTGCTTTGATGGAATTAGGTTTAAGACCATCTGAGTCTAGGATCTTTAAAATGTTGATATTGAAGAAACTTCTGCAAAAAAACACAGAGCGATGGCAGGTAGTGGTACATCCACGTCCCCTGTCACAGTCCCTGGGATCCTGTCCCCTCACAATCCCTAGGATCCCATCCCAACAGGACATCCACGTCCCCTGTCACAGTCTATGGGATCCATCCCAACAGCACATCCACCTGAGACTGGTAACTTGCCATTTTGAAAATTGTTTCCACAGTATCAAGTAAAAATGGTATATACATATGATGGAAGGAAAAAAAGGAAAGGAGAAAGGAAATGTGTGCAGCAGGGAGAGAAGATGATGAACTCTTATCTAAAGTCCTGAAATCATCAAGATAATTAAGCAGACTAGGCATGACTCAGGATAAATCTTGACAGGAAAACATAACTTCATAATTTAATGATCTGGGCCCTGCGTGATAGCGTAATGGTTAAGGTCCTCACCTTGAACGCACCGGGATCCCATATGGGTGCTGATTCATATACCAGCTGTTATGCTTCCCATCCAGCTCCCTGCTTGTGGCCTGGAAAAGCACTGGAGGATGGTCTAAAGCCTTGGGACTCTGCACCTGCATGGGAGACACGGAAGAGCTCCTGGCTCCTGGCTTCGGATTGGTTCAGCTCCAGCAGTTGCTGTCACTTGGGAAGTGAATCATCCGACAGAAAATCTTCCTCTCTGCACATCTGCCTTGCCAATAAAATAAATAAATCTTTATATAATTTAATGATCTGAGTATCAGAAAGTCAGCAGCTTAACTAGTTACTGCTTCCCTTAAAATGCATGCTTACCTGAGGAGGGACAAAAATAACTGCCCTTACCTTTAAAAGAAAAAGGAAAAGGTGGCGAGGGGGATAAAGAACTAAAGCACTATCATTTAAAAAATAATAAATTTAAAAATCAAACTCCTTGGAGTGGGTTTGTTCCTGCTATGCCTTTGCACTCCGGCTCCAAAGACTTGGGACTTGTCATCACTTTCCTCCCCGCCCATCAGATTGGGGGGGGTGGGCGGACGTGGGGTGCGAGGAGTCTGACCCTGGACCCAAGTCTGTGATGGGCTTCAAGGCCCCTCCAACGAATCCCCACCTCCAAGACAGCTGCTGAAGAGAAAGGGGGAGAGCCCGAGTTCACCCCTCCCCCACCTCGGACCCGAGTCCCAAACCTACTCCGCACCTTCCCGCAGCGGGGAGACCCCTCCGGCCCGAGGCCCCAGGCTGGCGAGGGGTGGACTGGGGAGTGGGCTCCAGTCCAGCGGTGCCCGCGGCCGTGGCCCCGACCCCGGCGGGCTTTGGGAGGGGGCGGCCCGCGGGATGCCGCTTCCCTTCCCCTCGGCGTCGGTCCGTCCCACCTCGGCCTGGCGTCCTGGGCTCCGCTCGCTGCCGCCGGCCCCGGCCCACGACCGGGCAGCCAGGCCCGCTGGCCACTCGGCCCCATAACCCGCGGCCCGGACCAGCGGCGAGGCGCGGGCCGGGGGCTCCCAGTACCCCCACATGCATCCCCGCTCCCCCAGCCCAGCCGCTTCCAGGGCCCTCACGGAGCCCGCTCGGCGGGCCCCTCGATTCTCCGACCCCGACCGGGAAGGCTCCTCACAGGCTCCCGGTGGTAGCCGCCTTTCCTTCCCTACCATCACCCCGACCTCCTCGTGCCCCCCACGCCCCTGGGCACCAGTGCCAACGGCAGCTCCCCAACGGCAGCTCTCCAACGGTTCAACCAAGCCTAGTGAGGGCGGGGAAAAGCTTCAGCCCTCCTCTGCCTCTCATTGGCTCTTCCGGGACACTTGGGGAGTGAATCATCGGATGGAAGATCTTCCTCTGTCTCTCCTCCTCTCTGTATATCTGACTTTCCAATAAATAAATAAATCTTTAAAAAAAATGTTGATATTGAAGAAACTTCTGTGAAAGAAACACAGAACCAAGGCGGGTAGTATACTATGAGCTGAGTACAACAGGGCATCCACGTCCCGTGTCACAGTCCCTTGATTATACAAAATTCACTCTGTGAATAAACCACATTCTATTTGTTTTTTAAAAATGAGGTCTCCATGTCCTTTCCCCTCTGCTGTGCCTGTCCCATTCTCAGCCTCTCAGTATCTTTATGGTAACATGAATGGAATTCTTCCTTTTACTCTGCCTGCCCCCATCTACTTTTTCCTATCTTCTCGAAGTAGTGGAGAGCAACACATTCCATTCACCTGCTCAAATTAAAACCTTTTCTCTCTTTTACAACCCATACATCCAGCCCATCAGCAAATACTACTTGCTCTGTCATCAAAATACAAACAATCTTCAAAATGACCACGGAGAATGTGTACTGTGAAAGAACGTGCATCATTTCAAACTTTCTATACCAAAATAAACCTATCTTCCCATTGCCTTTATCAACAAACGTTGTCAAGTACCCTTGTAAATCCAGAATCACTTCTCATGCTCTCTAGCGCCACAACCACCACACGACTGAACCTATTTCTCTACATCTTGACAGGTCATGTCACTTCCCTGTGGGTCTCCCACCAACCGAATCCCTACTCACTGCTGTCTCCACTGGCTTGCTTGCTGTGAGGACTGCAGGCACGCTCTGTCATATAAGTTTCTGCACCTGCCATTTCTTCTGCTCCAAATGTCTTCTTCAAATACTTGCACAGTTGACTACTTATCTGTTTGAACATAATTTTGACTCTGCCTTCCCTGACAATCCTATGCAGCACTGCAACCTCTTTCCCTTTCTGTGTTCCTTTATCCTTCCTCAAAGCATTTTTCTCCAAACATTTGCTCTCATCTAACATAATATATATGCTACATATTACTTCCAATGAGAAAAAGGAAGTGGGGATTTCTATCTCTTCCATTCTCTGCAGCAACTATAAAAGGCTGGCTATCAATAGCATTCCGTAATTTTAAAAAAAATATTTATGTTTGGGCCCGGCGCAGTGGCGCAAGTGGTTAAGGTCCTCGCCTTGCACGCCCGGGGATCCCATATGGGCGCTGGTTCTAATCCCGGCAGCCCCGCTTCCCTTCCAGCTCCCTGCCTTTGGCCTGGGAAAGCAGTCGAGGACAGCCCAAAGCTTTGGGACCCTGCACCCATGTGGGAGACCCGGAAGAGGCTCCTGGCTTCGGATCGGCATAGTATCGACCGTTGCGGCTCACTTGGAGAGTGAACCATCGGACGGAAGATCTTCCTCTCTGTCTCTCCTCTCTGTATATCCACCTTTCCAATAAAAAATAATAAAAATAAATCTTTTAAAAAAATATTTATGTTTGTTACAAAGTCAGATATATAGAGAAGAGGAGAGACAGAGAGGAAGAACTTCTGTCCGATGATTCACTCCCCAAGTGACTGCAACAGCCGGTGCTGCATTGATCTGGAGCCAGGAACCAGGAACCTCTTCTGGGTCTCCCATGTGGGTACAGAGTCTCAAAGCTTTGGGCCGTCTTCGACTGCTTTCCCAGACCACAAGCAGGGAGCTGGATGGGAAGTGGAGCTGCCAGGATTAGAACCAGTGCCCACATGGGATCCCAATGCGTTCAAGGCAAGGACTTTTTAGCTGCTAGGCCACGGTGCCAGGCCATGTAATTATTTTTATAATGAACAAATGAGCCCTAAAGGTGACATAATTGAGAAATCAC